CTAATAGCGTATAAAATTAAATTTAGATACTAGCTAATATACTACTAGAATTAGAAGAAGCGTATAATAAAGGCTTCTACTCTACGTAAGCGTCTCTTACGCTAGAAAGCTTAGGATTTTACTAAGAAGTAATACAACGCTGTAGAAAAAGCTACTAAAATCGCACGAAGTAATATCGCGAAAGCGTAAGCTAGGCAGGCGCTCTAAGTAAATAAAAAGCGCTAAGAACCTAATTTTATAGTAGGCAACCTTGTCTATATTAAACCTTATAGCTTTTTAATAGATTAGCCTAGTATAAAGCTAGATTAATAGATATATAGCTCTTACCTAATTATTACTATAAAGAGTTACTTTTTCTAGCTTTAGCTATCTACGTATATACGTATATATAACGTCTTCTACGCTAATTAGTTAAGAAAAGTCTTAGAGCTATTACTAGAGTAGGTAGAGCTTAAGTAGCTACCTATTAAAGTTAATAGTAATCTAGAATAGCCTATATATAAAATTCTAGATAGCTATCTTTATTAAAATTACCTTTAATACTACGCTGCGTAGGTTACTTATAATTCTAACTCTACCTAGTATAATACTATAGGCTTTATTAACGCTCTCTATAAGATAAGAGACTTTTATATAGTATACCTAGAAAAGCTAGAGCCGCTATTATAATTAGATACTTAGATTAAGGCGTACGAAAAAGAGAAGACTCTAGAGAAGATAGTAGAGAATTTAAAACCCGTAAGAGTAGAAGACGTAAGAGTAACGCGAAGGCGCCGCTAAGCGATTTAGAACTCTGCTAAGCTTAGGGTATAGTTTAAGAAGAGAGCTAGTAAGAAAGCCGCTCTACTAACGTAGAAATAAGCCTCTTTCTCTCTAGAGGAAAGGTAGTAGCTATAAAAGCGCTTCTAGTTTAAAACTAACACGAATACACTTACTACAAGCTAAAAGAGATAGTAGAGAGTATAACGCGAGAGTTTTAGAAGAAGAGGAACCTAGAAGGCGTATTTTAGAGCTTAGAGACAAGCTCTTCTTATAAGAGAGAGTAATATAATAGTCTAGTTTAGAGATTTACCTTAAGTTATATAACCTTAGGTTACGTAATCTTGTTACGTAACCTAATCTAGCGCCTTAGCGCTTAGCACCTCTATATATAGAGCCTCTTAGAGTCTTTTCTTAACTTCTTACCTTTAGATAGCTAAATTTAACCTAACCTACTCTACTAGCACCTCTTATTCTTATAGCTTATAGAGATAGTACTACCTACAGCTAACTTACTTAGCTAGGTGTTCTAGAGGCGCTTATAGTAGTAGAGACTACAAACCTAGCCCTTATAATAACTATTTAAGATAAAAAGTTTTACTATAAGTATATTAACTTATATTATAAAATATCTATATAAATATAATATATTAGACTATAAAACTTTATAAACTATTACTATATAGCTTTATAAGTATATATATAATAGTAAACCTTAATTATAGTTAGAAAAAGATAAGTTACTAGAATAAATCTAAGAGTAGATACTCTTTTAGATTTTTTCTTTAATATCTTTATAGCTATATACTTCTAGACTACTAAACTTTATAAAAGGCTTTATACTATAGTATATAATATATCTTTAAAGTTTTATAGATTATTATAAAGGTTTACTAGTATTTATAAGATTTAAAGTTTAAGAATAGCTACTTTTAGAAAAAGGCTTACTTTAAGCTTACGTAATAGAAAATATATAGTATAAATTTAATAGTAAGTATATATAGTATAGTTTTATATATATTTAAATTTTTATAGAAAAATATTAAGATTTTACTTAGTTATTTAAGAAATACTAGTTAATTCTTTTACTTAGTATTTTTAGAAGATTTACTTATATAAAAGATTTACTTATAAAGTATATTATTATATAAACTTATTTATATTAAGTATTTATATAAGTTTATTTTATAAAAAATCTTATATATTAATTTATAAGCTATTTATTAGAAGTTTTTAAAAAAACTTAATAAATTTTTAAATCTTAATTACTAACTAAATACTAACGTACTTTATTACCGAAAGCTCTATATTACCAAAAGCCCCACGATTTCTTGGCAAGAAAAATCAACGAAAATCAACCCGTTTTTCTTAAATAACTAAGCGAAACCTTAATACTTTTCTATAAAAATTTATATATATATTCTTTATAGCATATTACACCTTATAGTAAAGTTGCACTAAGATATATTACGTAATTAAAAAGCTATACGTATTTAACTAACTTTTAGAAAAAATCTAGTTTACTTCTAGTTAGTACTATTATATCTCTATAATAATCTATAAAACTTATAGTATATAGTATCTATAACCTAATAAAGGTTTCTAGAAAACTTCTATAGCGCTAACTCTTCTAAGTATAGCGTAATAAGAGGTAGAAGTTAGAAAAATATCTTCTTTAGAGTTTTCTCTTCTAACTATATATATATATAGTTAATCTAGCTATATAAACTTATTATTATATAAATTATAGTAGACTTTAACTATATAGAGCTTATTACCTAATAATATAGTAGCTTTAAGTAGTTATTTAAAAGTAAAGTATTTTTAGTACTATAGTATAGAAAGATAGAAAGATACTAAAACTATTTTAAAATTATTACTTCTAAATATATAGAAGGCTTATAGTATATATAATCTTATAATATATAACTTTATATAGCTAGATTATTAATATATATATATATAGTTAGAGAAGAAAACTCTAGAAAGACTTTTTATAAACTTCTATCTCTTATTACGCTATACCTAGAAGAGTTAGCGCTATAGAAGTTTTCTAGAAACCTTTATTAGGTTATAAATACTATATACTATAAGTTTTATAGATTATTATAGAGATGTAATAGTACTAACTAGAAGTAAAGTAGATTTTTTCTAAAAGTTAGTTAAATACGTATAGCTTTTTAATTACATAATATATCTTAGTGTAACTTTACTATAAGGTGTAATATGCTATAAAGAATATATATATAAATTTTTATAGAAAAGTATTAAGGTTTCGCTTAGTTATTTAAGAAAAACGGGTTGATTTTCGTTAATTTTCCTTGCCAAGAAATCGTGGGGCTTTCGGTGATATGGGGCTTTCGGTGATATGGAGCTTTCGGTGATAAAGTACGTTATAGCTTTTTAAAATTTCTAAGCTAATATAGAGTTACTAGTAGTATATAAATAATATACTAAAATTTTATTTATTTATCTATTATAGTTCTTATTTTAGAAGAGGTAAGAGATACTAAAAAGTGTGCGTTAGGTGGGGTCTGTGCGTCAGGTGGGGAAACACGGTAACTCGAGAACCCTGTTAATACCATAGAATGTTCCATGTATGGTTAATGCTTGGCCTAGAAATTTAGCTACAGTCGATGCTTGTATCTTGGTGTTCATGTGATAGAATAGCCGCCTGCCGGCGCGGCATGCTGACCAGCTAGCATGAGCTCTTTCTGGGCGGGACTACTAGAGTATTGAAAACCATTCCGTCCATAAAGGCCACTGACTTGGTCTTTTATTTCCTGTGACGACTCCGAACTGGTTACTCGCCGAATTCCAAAGTTCGCAGGTGAAAGCCTTTCACATGTCCTGAAACGGTCAGCTGCGGGGCAGCATTGTGGCACAGCATTGCTGCGACACCACCCCCATGAGCTAATTCATTGCCGATGCCCACCAAAAACACCTTCATCGCCAACGTACATGAAAAGCTACTAATTATTTTAAATAGCGTATATCTAAAGTGCTTCAAGATATAGCATGTATAGATTTATATTTTAGCTGTTTACATTTAGATCTATATAGCAAACTGTGGTTGCACAGTATCTATATGGCATCGGCAATGAATTAGCTCACCCCGGTGACACCTCCGAACGAGGGATATAGATAACGTGTTCCTTCCCACCTTTCCAGCATCCGTAAAGCATCGTGCCCGTTGATCAACCGCATCTCTTATACTACGTTCCTGCTTGTATTTTCCCCGCTCCACCTTCCTCGTTATGGCTCTACCCCAAGCGTCATGTGAGCATCTGATTGCTCTTTGCCAAGCCAAGACCCACGAGCAGCTGCTTTGTGAGCTTCAACAATCTGCGACCGCCCAAATTGCCCTGAGCGAGGAGGTCATCATGGTCATGCCAGGGGAGGATAGGGAGATAAAGCAGCTCAACCTTCAGCGCATGCTCGAAGCCGCGGCTTACGCGGGGCGTGCGGACACAGTCGAGTGCCTCCTCGATTTCGGCCAGCAATACGGCGTTGCCGTGCCCCATCTGCTCACACCTTGGGCCAAGTGGTGGACACTATCCTCCGCCAATGCTCTTGAGGTCCTGCTGAAGTTTCGGGCACTCGACGCCGACGTCTTTGTACGTGCCTTCCGGACTGGTCCTGTGCGAGTCCAAATCATATCTTTCGCATGTACTGGGGGTCCCAATAGTGAAGACCCGCCCTGCAAGGCGTTTTTACCGCTTGTACGACATCTGATGAAGATCGGGTGTGACCCCAATACGCCAATATGGAGGTTCGAAGATCACCCGGGTTATCTGCTGTACAGAGCCTGTTGGACGGCTTGTTACGAAGTTGTGGAGTGTCTCCTACAGCACGGCGTGTTGGTCAAGGGGTCAAGAGCGGCGCGTCCGGCTGCGCGAGATGGCCGGGTCGATGTACTCGAGCTGTTGCTTCGCTATGGAGCTGACATGAACGAATGCTTTCCCGGGAAAGACCTCACCGAGCCGCAAGGGACCGCGCTCCATGCGGCCGTTGCGTCGAACCAGACTGCCACCGTTGAATGGCTGCTGCAACATGGGGCAGATGCCGGCATCCGCAATGTCGATGGGAAGACTACGGCCGACTACATACCTGAAGACGCTGATGAGGCTTTGAGAACACTCATGGGAGGGGGTTAGCGGGCGCTTCGACGGTATTTTCCTTGTCATAGCCCTCCTCCGGCGTCGGTCTATTCACGCTCCCGCTCCTTGCCATCTTACCCTCGTTCAACCACTGTTTAGACTGACAGTCAGCCAAATAAATACACTGGACGTATGTGTCAAGTCCCTACCCGTACTCCGCGACTTAGACTCGTCCCTAGCGCCCCAGGACAGGGTTTGGAGACTTACATCTATGATCAATACTGGATAGTGCTGGGCGCGAGTGATTTGCTGGTATAAAAGACACTGGCGGTCTAGGGCTGTATGCCCGCTGCGGTCGTGTGGGTTACTTCATTATACTTGGTTTATTACAAAGTACTCGATTACTTAAAGCAGCTAGGCAAGACATCGGCACGTGATCGGGTTGGAGCGGTCCTGCGATGAGTCAGCTGCTTGGCTCGACGATACATAGTGGCCCTGCATGCAGGCATCAACAACCATTCACGTACGCAACAATGCACCCAGAATCTCCTCATCATGTGTCCCGGAGAGGCCGTGTCAGTTCGTGGCTCTCTGCACAGGAATCCTGCTTCCCTCCGTCTCCGCCGCCTGACGAAGGAGCCCTGAAGCCCTTTCGAGCGCCATTGAAGCGGAAGCGCGCCATGTCGCTCCCAACGACCGTACCTATTCCCAACTCGCACCGCGACGACAGCCCGAAGCGGTGAAGAACCGTACCTGTTGACGATGTCCTGCCCGAACAGAGCGCGTCACAAATCAGCAGCAACACTCCATTCGCGCTGTACGAAAAGAACATATTCAGCCCTCCTACCAGTCGACTGTCCTCGAGTCCGAAACGATCCTCAAGCCCAACCCGCGAGACACCCATCATACTAAGGAGTGCATGGCCTCCGGTGATCGTAGAGAGTCTAAACGGTCTAAAGGACGCCCCGCCAACGCATGTCGAGCGACTCGGTGACCGGTTAGTCGAGGGCGTTGACTTCGGCTTTATTCCCAAAGGATTGGAGGTACGCCACTCAGATATAGTTTCCGATCGTCGGATGCTCATACCCTCCTAGCAAGTCATCAAGGCCGATCTCAATGTGGGCTACCAAACCATCAAACCGGCCGACTTCGACGCTGGCGACAGGCGCTCTGCTAACGAGCTGACGGCTTTGTGGGAGACCGTGAGGGACATATTCCTCAATGCGCGCGATTGCAAGGATGGCAACCGTGATGAGAATGCGTGGTGCGATGATGTGGTACAGCCACTACTCCGTCTCGCGATGCATTTATATGGTAACACGCGATGGTGGCTCCAGAGCGTGTACGTGCAGCTTTTCCCGACCGCGAGCACTCGTTAACTACTCTATCAAGTCAATCCCAGTCCATCAGTCCCGCCTATCTCTCCGCAATCCCCGCCTCCACCCCTAACGACGCCACCCGCCATAAGCTCATCGACCGTAAGACTGACTACGTGCTTTCCTACTCACCTTGCGACCCCACCATCTTAGCACTCTATAAGCGCCTCGTCGCCGCAAATAGAGGAGAAATTTCGCACACCCTCGATACTTTTACAAAGCGGACGGCCCTCTTCTCGGGGTTTGAGGTCAAGCCTGCTTACGGAGTCCATACCGAGGCGGAGCTGCAGATGAGCATATGGATCGCCGCATCTTTGCGCAAGAAGCAGCAACTCGCACACGCCGCGGAGGTCTTATTCGAGCCCGCGGCGATGGCGGAGCCCGCGTTTACCGTTGTTGGCCATGAGCACTACGTATACTACGCCTATCCGCAGGATGACCTCGTGGCTGGGAGAAGTGGCGTGCATGTGCTGGGCCCGGATTCTGACCGGTTTGAGAAACTAGGAACGGATTCAATCCGTGGCATCTTTCGGTTGGTCAGGCTATATGGGAATTTGCTGAAATATGGGATTGATGGGGTTGAGGAGGGGTATTGGGGGGGTTTCCTAGGCCTGGTGCTTGAGAAGCTGGCTAGCTAGTGGGATTTCGACAGATGTCGACGGGGTTCAGGTTGCCTAATAAGCCTCACGAGGCGGTCCTGTTCGCAGCATCTAAGCGACCTCAAGCTTCCAGGAAATGGCGATATTCAACGAAGGAAAGTGCGCCTCCGTGGTTCAGATGCGTGTTGAAGAACGCAGATGGTGAATCGAAGCCACAGTCACCAATGTCTGCACGCACTGCACCGGAAGTAGGAGGTGTCGAATATAGCGTGTTACCCACCTCACCGCACCCTTCCCCTGTGCTCCATCGGACCTCCCACCGTCCTACCCAGTATTACATCACCAACCATGGAAAAATATACGAGCCCATAGAGTTCCCAATACAATATTCCTATTCTTGGAAGGACCTCGCACAATGTCGCACTCCTGATTGGCCAACACCATCGTATTCCGCGTTCACGTGAGCTCCGTGTTCGCTATATATGTCGATCATACCACATCTGCTCGACTAGTTCACCCGGTTTCGCCATGGCTCGCGCATCGCTGTAGCATCCAGCTGATGTCTTGCGCGAGAGCCTCAAGATCGCCGGTCATGCTATTGGAGCAGATGGCGCTGTCGTTCCCTGAAAAGCGGTGGGAGGTTTTTCGTGGTCTTGTGCGACAGTTCTCTCTCTGTGCGTGTAAGGATCGCCACCACCCGCCTCGGAAGATACGGATCTAGAATATGGCTGGGATACGCAGGGAGTATATAAAGGAAAGCTCTGATGCGCTGTTGAGATCACCCGGCGACAGCTTACCCGATTGAACAATCCCGTCAAAAACACCACCGAACTACTCGTTCTACTTCCAACACCACATCCCCACAAAATGCTCCTCTTCCTCACCCTCCTCCTCTTCCCCCTCCTCACCCTCTCCCACCCGCCCACCAAACGCCCTGGCCACGGCCACCGCCCGCCCTACCATCCCCCGCACCACCCAAACATGTGCAACTACAACGCCCCCGGCAGCCGCTACTTCTACCTGTCCGACGTAACCTACGAGTCGCACATTGTGTACTCGACGCCCGCGCACCTGGCCGTCTCGTACGCCAACCTCGACTTCAATCTAACCAACAACGCCGCTTACGACGCGTCGTGCACGGGGAGCTCGAGCGGCGGGCCCAGCCCGGTTTACTTTACGTGGCCGCAGCTGCAGAGCTGCGAGGAGGCGGACGGCGCGTCGGGGAATGCGACGTGGATTTATATAGGGTATGAGAAGAATCTGCAGGTTAATGAGACATGGACTTGTGGAGGGTAAGTCAGTCTTTTATGGTGTGGTGCTAGAGTAAGAAGGGACGGATGCTAACGCGGGATTTTGTAGACACCAGTACTTGGGCTACGGCAATGTGACGCTTAATCTCGAGTGCGAGACTGAGAGCTGGAATAATCCGAATTGGACGATGGGGGAGCTGTATCATACTGAGGATGTGACGTGCAAGCCGATTAGTCTGCCGCTGATTCCGACGGTTGTGAGGACGGATTGAGGGAAAGAGAGAGATAGGAAGAGATCAAGTGACATTTGGCGTGGAGCGGGCTTGTTTTGCTGGAATGGAAATGGGGGCGTAATGTGATGATGGTACACATGAGCGACGACTTATGATCTTTGTAGTATATTATAACATGTATTTGTTTTGAATTGGGGGCTGTGAGCTATGCGATGGGGCTATTGCGTGGAATAGGACAGCCATTGGTGTGCTTCTGCTCATTTTGAGAGTAAGAGACTGAAAGCTCGGTGCTGCAAAGGTCGACGGGAGATACATATATTGATAGACTTCTTACCAGTGCTTGATCTACCTCTACTGCTGCAAATACTCTCTGTGTAGTCTTCCCTTTCTCCTAGTCTACAAACAGGCTACGCATTTTCCTTCCTGGCAATCTCTGGCTTATCAACACCATCATCCCCATTCTCCCCACTCTCGGCGATCTCCGCCATGGCCTCACGGGCAATTCTCTCCTTCTCCTCCTCGCTCATACCATACCATCGGCTCGCGATATGTTCGTCACCGAACAGTGCGCCGATCTCTTCGAGTGTTCTGCCCTTTGTTTCCGGGAACCTATTGGTCACTATCAGCCAATCATTCTCTCATAGACAAGCGGAGGCGGACACTTACAGGAAGTAGATGAGAACGATGTAGACGATGGAAGGGCATATGAGGACAAGGTAAAACTTCCAACCTATCTCCGCGAGTGCTACTGGAGCTGCGACGAGGGTGATCTCGCTGGCGAGGTAGAAGGCTGAGAGACCCAAAGCGACGCCTTGAGGACGCAGATGGTTTGGGAAGATTTCTGCGATATAGACGTATCTGATTTTATCAGCCCATAATCACCATACACTGGAAGGAGTAAGCACTTACTGCGTTGCGTCAATAAAAAAGCACCACCAAAAGATGTAAAAGAAAACGAAGAACACTGCTGCCCTCAACCCCGCCACGTTCGAGGTGTTCAGAAACTCGGCCGTGAGCGCACAGAGGAAGATAACGCACGCCGTGCATCCAGTGGAGCCGATGAGCATGAATGTGCGTCGTCCGAAGCGATCGATGAAGAATGCGGTCCAGACATTGCCCACAATCGTGAAGCTGGTCCAGCACGCATTCAGCAGCAACGGTACGAAGCCGGATAATCCAAGCGATGCGTATATGAGTACTCCATAATTGGTCATGATAAAGATACCGAGAAATTGATCGCCCCACATGAGCAGGCAGCCGACGAGAGCCCTTCTTCGATTCGCTGTCGTCCGGAACAGTTCGAAAGAACGGACCTCGAGGTTCCGGTCGAGTTCATATTGCTTCTCGATGAGAAAGAATTCCTCGCGGGCTCGGATATGATGCGGATCCTTAGGCGTGGCGTGTAACTTCTTGACAACCTCGAGGGCTTCCTCGCGGCGTCCCTGCTGTAGCAGCCAGCGAGGAGAGAACGGGATGAATCTCCATCCTGCCAGCACCGTGAGCGGGAACGCGCACTGAAATGCCAGCGGGAACCTCCACGCAAATTCCGCATAAGGCGAGTCGGCTGGAAGGAAGAAGCATGCGAATCCCAGCCACCCGGCCAGCGTGTACCCCAGCGCATACGCAATCCCCGTAACGCACACCATCGCGCCTCTAGTCTCAGGTGTCGAAACTTCAGCTTGGTACATCGGGACTGCACAAGCCAGCATGCCCGCACCCCATCCTGCAATGAAGCGCCCAACGAGGAACATTGCCATGTCGACTGCACCGGAGCAAAGTGCGCCACCGAGGATGAGGATGCAGCAGCCGACCATCATACTGTATTTGCGGGAGAAGCGCTCGCAGGTCCAGGCGTTGAAGATGCAGCCGACGATTGCGCCGGCGCTGTTGACGCCGTTGAGGGCGCCGATCATGTTGGTTGTGTGGCCATATCCTAGATTTTCCTATATTAGCATCACGAGTGCTGGGGACTATCAAAGCGAGGGAGTGATACCCGGCTCGCCTTGATGCGCAAGGTTGAAGTAAGTGTAGAAATTCGGCTGCCCGACCGTCGAGCCGATAATCGCTAATCCATAGGCTGTGGAAATGGTCCCCAGGCCGACGAAGACGACGACCCAGAGATTGTACGAATTGACGACGAGATGATTGAACATCCTGACGGAGAAGTATCATGCAGGACAGGAAATGAGACCTGATAAAGAAGGGCGGGCAAGGAAAGACACAGCTTATAGAGTGCCCAAGCCGCGATCAAGCCGAGCTCATCATCCCATCGTAGCGGTTGAGGGGTACGCCAAATAGCTACCTCGAATACGCTGATTCGAACCGGAGAAATGGCCGCAGATCAGCAAATGCCCTTCCATGCTTACGAATGTGGATCCGCATCATGGGGCCGTATTGGCTGTGTGGAGCAATCTGGGGTAATCTCTTGTCGAAACAGTCGACTCGAGCGGATGCAGAGCCGTTCAGGATCGACGCTGACGGAAAATCTCCGCTGTCGAACCTCAGTATCGGATAAGGGACATATCGAACCGCTTATAAGCTCGTGTGCAAAGTAGCTCTCATGTTTCAAAAGGATTGAAGATATTTCTGGGCTGAAGAACTCCGAATGCTAAGGTTGTGGTTGAGGGTTAGGCGTCTCGAAGGAGCGAGAGCAGTGACGTCATCCTAAGTGGATTCCATGCGAGCCGATGTTCGACGGCATCAACGTCCAAACACTCCCAGGATTGCTTCTCGTCCATTTCGGTATATAAAATCTCGTGTCCTACTCTTACTTCAGCATATCCATATCTCATACGTTATTTCCACAAGTCACCAAATGCCTCTCATGTTCATCTCTCGTCCACTCGATCTCCCTTCCCACGAGCCCCCTCCCCGTAATCATCGTCGCATTGACCGGGCTCTTCGGAATAATCTCTTCGCCTCTCGTCGCCAGTATGCTCAAAACATGAGCAGCAGCCTAACGCCCGCATTAGCACCTGAACTCTCAGGCCTCAACGACTCTTGGATTCAACTCACCTTCGCATTAATGGTCAGGGTCGTCGGATTGGGATTGTCAATCGTGTCGCACGCTTGATGGTAACACGCGTCTTGCTCGACCCCTGTGCCAGTGTGCAGGCCTCCAATGGGTTTGCCGATGTTGAAGAATGATTGATAATCCGATCCGCCAGTAAACCTAGCGGCGGTGACGTTGATTCCTTTCTTCGTCATATCCTCGACGAAAATCCTCTCGATGACTTCAGATCCAGCAGGGCCCTTAAGCCCATGCGTACTTCCATCTCCATCGAACACGCCGAAGTAACCACGGCTCACCATATCGAAGTTCAGATAAGCCAGGATGTTGTTTGCCGACGAAGCGTTCAGATTCTGCGTGTAGTACTTCGAGCCTAGGAGTCCGTTCTCCTCAGCGCCCCACCACGCAAAGCGCACTTTATTCTTGACGCGGAATTTCTCGAGCGCGGTTTTGATTTCCATGATCAGGCTTGATCCGCTCCCGTCGTCGTTGATACCCGGGCCGGCTACCACGCTGTCGAGGTGAGCGCCTAGCATGATGACGTTCGATGGATCGCCGTCTTTGGTTTCGCTGAAGATGTTCTGGGTGATCTTGGTCTCGATTGACTGCGTCTGTTGGAAGTAGGCAGTGATTTGTTCGCCGGCTTGCATGCGCGCTACGAGAGCTTCGCCGTCCACTTTGTTGATATAGCCTCCCGGGACGTATTCCTCTGGGTTTGGATTTGAAAGCGTGCCACCAGTAACGGGAGTCTCGACATCGCTGTAGATAATCACAGCGATGGCACCGGCTGCCGCTGCAGGCTTCAAGCGGCCAGCTAGTGTTGTTCCGTCTGGGCAGGATCCTCGCTGGACAAGCACAATCTTCCCCTCCACATCTAGATCATTGTACGACTCGTTCGTGCAGCCTTCCGGCCCGGTCGCGCCTTGTACAAGCGTCGCCGTGATACCCTCTTTGCTAGTAGACGGTGAATATGATAAGCCAATCACATGGTACGACTGGTTGTCCACACTGAAGGTTATTGAGTCGACGTGGTTGAATAATGCAGGGAAGTCCTGCACCCAGGTATTGAAATTGGTGGAGTTCTTCGTCCGAGAGAGGATATATTCGACTGATGCTGCGTAGCCGGGGAATCCAAAGGCGCGATTGCCTCCGTTCGCTTTGGCTATTGAGTCTAGCTTTATGAGGTTGCCCATCAAACTGTTGGGCAATATTAGTTGTAAGAAATAGAGGTAAATTGGGAGCTCACCCTTCAGTCGTGACGAGATCCTGCAAGGGCCCCGAGCTAACCAGAGGACGCAAGTAGTCGTCATATGTCGTACGTGGAAACACCGCCGCGAGCGATTGCGCAGCGGCCGCCAGGATCAAACCCCTCTGGAGCCTCATTTTTCAAGAATAATCCAAGCCTCAATTGCACTTCGAATCGAGCAGCCAGAAGTCCCTCCAAGATCGGCACACCGGGGGCTCGGCCGTTTTATAGCTCTCCAGCATCGCATATTAAAATTGATTGTACGCATCATCCCCGCCATTGCTTTGCCGTCCTTATCGCACCGAGGACTCTGGACCGTCATACGAAGACTGGAGAAGTAGGTCCAAGAGCTTGCCAAGGGCGGAACCAAATTGCATGCTTGACACCTTCCGGATAAAGTCAGCGCACGTGATGAGCGGGGTCTTGGCCAAAAGTCTCTTTAAAAGTGACTGTAGCAGCTGCTGATTGAAGAAAAGAGTTGCTAGAGCGGGTCCTGACGTTGGATGCGGGCGGAGACGTCGAGTGTGGGTGGAGAAGATGGGATGTCCACCTCGGGACGACGATGGGGCGCATATTAGGTGAATTGAAAGACCGATTGTAGCCGGCCATGATTTGATGAGAATGAAACAGAGGAGGAAAGCCGGAAGGAGACGGAGTGCTATGTTGCCAAAGACAAAGTTGAAGAGGACTACGATAGGTAACTGCGTTAGCGCGATGCCGGGAGCTCCCGTTTGCTTTTCGCATAGGTAGGCCGGTATAGCTTGGAATATGATGATTTTACTCTCGCTCTCTGTACTCTGTAAAATGTAACGGCTTTCGTGGTTCGAAATTCTCCATAGCTCGAGGTCAAGCGCCATACGCAACCTTTGACAATATGAGCGCACCCGCGAAAGCGGTCATTGATGGACCAGGAGAACATGTGGTACCTACTAAGATATTCGTTTTCTATGCCATTGATTCAATCCATAGAGTTTCCGAAAGCGGCACGTGGGAAGGTTGCTACTCGTTCAACATCTTCGTGTGTTGGATCGTAGTTCCTGAGAGCTGGATACCTTATCCGTACCCAAGTATCAGTCGAGGACATCGTTGTCTCCATCCACAATTGCACTCTTATCGAATCACTCAGCTTGGTGACTGGTCGCCTCTCGCTGCTTCCTGTCAATACTCATTTGTTGCTAGTTTGGATTTTGAAATACGTACCGCGGTGATCGTATTGATGCCGTAAATGCCGCGCCGTTCCAACGACGGGATATGGTAGTAATCACGGACAAAGGAATTCGGCCAGTCAGTTACCTTAAAGGCATCCATACCACGGAATCCATAGGTCCTTATGACTATGCAATCGCTCTTCGGAAGCGTGGAGTATGCATCCCGGAACTCGATGGCCGAAGCACCATACCCAGGCAGAAATCTGAGTTAGAAACTTTGAAGCCATAGTAGGTGCTCAAGCTCCGTTTGGACGCGATACATCGTCTTTCATGACTGTAGATGCTGATCGCTATGGTATTTCACCAACGAGGTAGTGACACAGATATAGAGCCTTTGTGGGACGTGAGCGCAGAGGATCCCGAGCCGAAGGAACTCTCTTTTGAGAGGATGACTAAAGCCGGACCCACAAATTAAGCTTATAAGCCGGCTGCAGTAGTGCCCATCTGGCCCCGCTATTTAAGCTCATAAGCCGGCCGCAGTAGCGTCCATTTGGGCCCGCGATTTTCCCTACGCGGCCGCACCTCTCTCGAAATCGAGATTCGGGTAGCAACTCGTTCACACAACCAGGAAAGCCGATGCATCCAGCTGATTCGCGTCTGCCGCCGTCGCGGTACCCTATGTATCGGTACCTGACCTGCATATGATGCACTTCTTTATGAAAAGCACTCAAACTGCATTCAAGTTGAACAAAAGGACCTCAATACGCCAAGTTTCGAGACTGCATCATGGCCATAAACGTACCACACAAGATGGATAATCTCGCACCCGCTTTTCGCCCGTTTCCAAGATCTTGAACCCCCACATGGAGGCGTTGGTGCCACGCACTAGTTTCGCGTTGAGTCCCAGTACCGGCAGTCTACTCTCCTTCTGCTCAGCCTTCACCAGGACCGAGGCTGCTCATTCAAGGCTCGAATGTGGAACCGGGCTTTCAGTTCCTCCGTTCCTACAGGGAAGATCGCCTGGCCAAAGTGGGAACCTTCGTCATCTGTCCGTTGATCTGCATCGGTCCGTTGCCAGAGCCATGTTTTCATTCCCCGCGTACGTCTCCCATTTCGCAGAGGAATATGTTCAGTGAACCGAGAGCGCAAACGCCCAAGAGCGTGAAAAGTAACGGTGAGGACCAGCATCGGTGTCTTGTCAAGTCACCCGCGTTTTGTTTATATGTAGCCGGCTGGGGAGGCAGTTGACTCACGCCACACATGCCGGATCACCGCAGACTATTGGCCCTTCTTTCGTCCCTACCATATATGGTGTTGATAATGGACCCTTTCCAAGGGATCTCGCAAGGGACGGAGATGAGTCGTGCACGAATGTGGCCAATTCGGCGTCGGAAACTTTCCCAAACTAGCAAAGCCCTTGATGTCACCATGAAGTCCTTGGATGCCCGATGCTGGAGCAAGGGACGCGCAATCACTCATTTCGCAGGGAGGCTGTGTACATCGTCATCAAGTGACTTTGTGATTTTATATATAACCATCGTGAGATGTATCATGGTTGACTATCGGACAGAATCATTACAACTTCTCACATCGATCTTTACAACTAACCATGGCACTCAACGCAACAATGCGAGCCGCAGCCTTAGTCGGCGCTTACAACATCTCCATCATCGACATGCCGATACCCGTACTTCAGAATTCAACAGATGCCATCGTTCGCATCACTGCGTCAGCAATTTGCGGCTCCGATCTGCACTTCTACCATCAGGGAATGGGCTCTCCGGAACAGCCAATGCCCATTGGCCACGAGGCTATTGGTTACATCGACTCGGTCGGCGACGCTGTCCAAACTCTCCAAGTCGGCGACTACGTTGTTATCCCAGACAACGTAGATGATGGCCACTTCACCTTCGGCCCTGAGCTACCCATCTCATTTGGCAGCGGTCAGCTTGGCGGTTGTCAAGGTACGTCTGAATATTGCGCTTGACAAATTTTTTTTGTGTAGAACGCAGACTAAGGCAAATGTCACAGCTGAATACGTCCGAGTCCCATTTGCAGACGACAGTCTGATTCCTGTTCCGGTCAATGCAAGTACAAATGCGACAACCGCCATGGACTATCTTTTCGTGTCTGACATCTTCGCAACTGGATGGACGGTCCTCGACTTTGCCGGGTTTCAACCGGGCGATACCGTAGCGGTCTTTGGCGCTGGTCCCGTTGGGCTTCTGGCTGCTTATTCCGCTATGCTCCGTGGCGCTTCGAAAGTATACTCTGTCGATCACGTCCAAGCTCGCCTTGATGTTGCTGAGTCAATCGGAGCCATCCCAATCAATTTCAACCAATCCGACCCTGTGGAGCAGATTATGGCTCTCGAACCAAACGGAGTTACTCGAAGCGTGGACTGCGTAGGGTACGAAGCTGTGAATGCGCAGGGCGAGGTCGAGCTGGGCATCGTTTTGCGCAACATGATGAACGTAACCAGCGACTATGGAGGAATTGGTGTTGTTGGAGTCTACCTTGGACAGGAAACAATGACAATGTCGATGACGCAATTCTGGAGCAAGGCGTTGACAATGGGCAGCGGGATTGTTCTGCCATTACAGCATGCCACTGAGCTGGTTCAGCTGATCGCTAGCGGCAGAGCTTCTCCGAGTTTCATTGTCAGCTCAACAATTGGTATTGAAGAGGTCCCAGAGTATTATCGCCGCTTCGATCAACATCTGGAGACGAAAGTCGTTATTCAATTTCCTTAGGGATGCTATAGATAGATAGGCTTCCTCGGCTCATCTCCTCAACTCAATCACCAGACGAATAGACACTTTTTGTACGATACTTGTTGCGCACTGCGCTCTGCGCTCTGCACTCTGCACCGACTTGATACTGCCAGGGAACAGCTCTCATCGATGGAGCTTGATCGATAACGACATGAAACGACGCTCACCAGTGCAGAAGAATCGAGTCGACGGTGATACTGAATCCGACATCGAAGGATAGATGACTTAGGAGTAAATCAGCCATTGAACTGCTCACGACATATCGAAGACCAACCGCTTCTCTCCCCTCTTCTCACGCCAGTAATTAGTAGAAACAAGGAGCTCTCGACACTCTCGGACGACCCAACCCCACTTGCGTAGAAATGGAACAGTTGCCTCCCAAGCCCGAGGATCGTAAGGAAGTGGAAAGGGTAGAACTAGGATGGGGGTTCCGACCATGTCATAACGGCCTCTTGTTGTATGTCCACTCACAGTCGAACGAACTCTGGGCGCTCTCAACGCCCTTGTCGACATCCGCCTGCACCGCCTCAGCATCAGCAAGAAGGTTAGCGAGCTCTTTGTGGGTGATAGAGATGCCATAGGTGTTCAGGTCTGGACGATTAGCGGTAAAGAAGTCAGATAGTAGGAGATGGAGGGTTGCGTCAGGCGTGAGTACTCCGTCTTTGTCGTGGAAGCGGGCTTCGACTCTAGTAAGTGACGCTGTACCCGCTGTACCCGCTGTGCCCCACTCTCTTGTAAGTCGAAAGATAGAAAACCAGGCTTGACGCTGAGGCAGGGTGTTGTCCTTGCGTTCGCTTGGGCTCCGGTACTCAATATTAACACCGAAGAACGTCCTGATGCGGCCGCGCGACAGGAAGACGTATTGTTCGGCGATGGCGGGGAACTCTTCACCATCCTGGCTTACACCAATCTCAGCGACGAGAGCCGGTGGGTATGTGGGCGACCGAAAAGAGAGATCAGGGTTCCGCGAGCAGACTGGGCCGAGCGCGAGCTGCGGGCTACCTGCAGATGCTATAGAGGCAATAGCGTTCGCTACGTCGGCGGGTGTGTGGTCGCGGAGAGCAGCGAGCTTCGCAAGAATCAGCGCCCGCAAGCCCTCAACATATGTCTCGTGTAGTGGGCCAGCCATCTGGAGGGTCAGGCGCTCTTTCTCCGGTTCGTACGTGTAGTGAAGTTTGTCTCTTGCCCACAGGCCCAGCTGTCCGCTGGATATAGCATTGCGGACCTCCACCCACTGGGTTGGAGGCACACAAAACTGCAGGTTGCCTTCCGCAGACTTGTCTGTCAAAGCTGACTCCCCCTTGCAAAGCCCACGAACGCAGTTGAGTATCGCGAGCGACTCCTTGTCAAGGACAGCCCCCGATGGTACCTTGTCTGGGTTCGGCGGCGTCGAGGGAGGCGTTGTTGGGCTGGGGCGATCTGCAGCTGACATCGAGGGCTCAAGGGAGGTGCGGGTTGTTGATGGCATCGCATCGTGGATTGCGATGGGGTGCAGGTGGTGATGGAGAGGATGAAGAGCGAAGAGCGAAGAGCTCGAGGCGGCTGCCTGGGCTTGGCACAAGGTGACTCATCTTTAGCACCCCGTCTAATATGAGGTGAACCCTCGAGCGAAATTGCAAAAGCTGCGACCATTCTTTCTTTCCCGCTCCTACTAGTTGGACGCCATGGCTGTCTCTCAGGACTAAGATCTGAAAATCGTTTTTGAAGCAATGACACACACCAGGCCTCGTGGGTTCTACCCTCGTCCAGACGCGTTCCAGAAACATGGCTATTGTCCGTAAATTCAAAGCCGTTTACGGATATAACATGCGGAGATACGGTTCTCACTTCGCGCAAGAGACGGCCCGCTTAACGCATTACTAGGGTGTCAGCAGGTTGCATACAAGAGCCGGGAACTAGCCCTATTCATACGTTTCTTTAATATACACTACCCGGGGAAGCTAGTAGCCCGTTCCTGAAAACAGCGCCACCAACTCCTGACATATCCTGGCACTTTGGATTCCACGAATTAATGGCGAGAAGGACGAGGCGAAGGCAAGCTGCCCAGGTTTTTGGGGCGTGAAAACGGGCATCACTCTCAGGGACGACAGGGCTCCTAGGATTGTCGATGCTCTCCGCAGAGGAAACTTCAGAAAACGCGTTATCATGGCGGCTAAGCCTATCCTCACAGGCCTGTATTGGGTCTATCTCCACCGAGCGCAATCTATTCGGACGGAAAGAACCTGGGGTTTATATGACAGGTGCGCAATTCCAAGGAACTACGACACGCGGCTAATTCTTGCGTGTAGGATGGGAAATTGGCAAAGGCTTTTGGGTATATCCAACGCACTCTTGGAGTGCAAAGGCCCGAAGTTTCTGGAGATATATCTAAGCCCAGTGGACTTTTCATGTCTTACTGCTCAATGAGACTTCTTCGCTACTTCTTGAAAGGATTGCAAAGTCAGTCATACATCGCCTCCAAAATGAACCGCTTCGGTTTTGTTTGCTTGCTCTTATGGCTTTTCAAGGTCACGAAGGGTAAGTATACGTCACTACATCCAAGGTCATACGCTTCATATTGACGAGAACACAGCACAAGACACGGGCCCAAGCAACTATTGCGACAGCCTTGGAATCTGTTACTCCTCGTTCACGAACTCTCAAGACATCACATATGGAATTGCAATTCCTGAGCTCGACAGCGCACCATTCGATACCATACTCCAAATCGTGGCTCCAGCCCAGAACCAGTGGGCGGCAATGGCTTGGGGAGGTCAAATGACGTATAATCCTCTTACGGTCGCTTGGCCCAACGGAGATTCAGTGGTTGTCTCTTCACGCATGGCAACGTAGGTCACCTTCAGTCCGTCTTGGTTCCTGCAGGTCTCCATATTGACTGACTACTGCAGTGGTCTCAACCTTCCTCAGCCATACGCTGGCGCTGAATATACGTATCTGAGAGGCACTGGCGTCAATGATACACATTGGACTCTCACGGTTCGCTGCCGCGGTTGCAGCTCTTGGGTCTACGGCGATACCAGGACCTCGCTCGACCCTCTGAATAGTACGCAATTCGCTTGGGCGCAGTCTGAGACTCCGGTGTTGGACCCCGCGTCTAATGCATCGGCATTCCAGGCCCATGACAATTTTGGTCACTGGTCACACGACCTAAATGCAGCTCGAAGCAATCAGTTTGACGCATGGGTATCTGACAACATCCTCCCAACATCCACGCCGAGTTCGACTCCCCTACCCACAAGCGCCCCAACACAATCAATAACGACATCGACTGTCTCAACGACGACAAGTGCGACCGGAGGAAACAGCACAAGCCTCCCGACCGCCTGCCCGGGTGTGTCAGAGCCAGCGACTCCCTTCAGGATAGCTGAGGGATGGCGAGCCACGAAGGTTGCTGGAGATTTGACCGCGGCTCGAGGCATCGTTTTGGATTCCCAAGGACGCCTCCTCATTGTTGAGAACGGCAGAGGCATCAGTCAGCACACTCTCAGTACCGACGGCTGCGTAGAATCCAGCAGATTGCTGATTCCGCAAACTGACCTGAACCACGGAATCTACTTGAGTCCGGACAGCTTCACACTCTATGCAAGCTCCATGACGACGGCATGGAGCTGGGAATACGATCCCGCTAGTGGAAATGTCTCGGACACACGCAGCGTCCTCGTAACGGGCATGTATCCAGGTGGACACGTAACAAGGACTCTAATCGTGCCTCCACATCGTCCGGACCTTCTCCTCGTCTCGCACGGATCGAATGGGAACCTAGACTATGGCGCTTTGGACCCCGCTATTGCCAGGGCCGTCGTTAAAGCGTTTGACTTGACTACTGTTCCAGAGGGAGGGTACAGCTATTCTTCCGACGGATATCTTGCTGGGTACGGACTTCGGAATGAAGTAGCCCTCACTTTCGACGGAAATAATATGTGAGTAGCCTCGAACTATGCTCGACCTGTCATGGCTTATTCTAATCTGTTTCTCTTGCACAGGCTCTGGGGTGTCGAAAACGGCGCCGACTCATTGACCCGCACAATCAACGCTACAAGCACCGATATCCACATTGACAACCCCGCGGACGAACTAAACTACCTTGGCGACGTTACGCAGCCAAACAACGACTGGTACGGGTATCCTACATGCCACACAGTCTGGTCACCGGATGTCATTACGGACAGAAGCTTCGCCGTTGGCGACCAATTTGTGTTAGCACCGAACGCCACCTTTGACGACGAAACATGCGTTGAGCGCTCGGTTCCACCACACCTAAGCTTCCAGGCTCATTCAGCGCCACTTGACGCCAAGTTCGACTCTGATTATAGCAATTTGTATATCACGCTTCACGGATCCTGGAACCGGCAGCCAGCAACTGGGTATAGACTTGTGATTGTTCCATACAGGCAGAGAGAAAGTGATGGTGGGTATGAACCAGTTGCAGCGGCTAATAGTAGCGAAGGATACCAGGATATCTTCTGGCATGATGATGTTACTCAGTGCTCTGCGGTGCGGTGCGCAAGGCCTGTAGGGTTAGTGTTTGTGGGTGATAGATTGTATATGACGAGTGATGCGGCTATGGAAGGGGAACTCTTTTTGTTGGAGAGATTGTAATATGATTGGGATGTAGTAGAGGAATACTGATCCAAACTCGCCGAAGATTGACGCCGAAGTGCTCACTTGAAAATGCCCACGTGATGACCCGAAATCCCCGATGCCTACCAATGCCGGGGCTCTCATAATCACGAGATGGCGAAGCGAGGGAAATCTGCCGACATAAAGAAAGTGGAGATATTGGCGCACGGGAGATAGAACAACACAAAGACGATCGTCGGTAAGAATATTGCAGCAGTGATGGGTCTTATACTAAACCTTTTGTCCCTTCGCCTGCCGAAGCCCCCAGCCCCCTGTGCCCTACAACCTATCGAGGTCCTCCCTTCTTCCGCCGCACGGATTTGGATGCTAATCTGTAGTTGTGCTTCATAATTTCCTTGTTGATATCGCTCATCAACTGAGCTCTGGCTTCTTCTTCGGTCATTCCAAGCTCATCGCGAAGCTCACTGAGGATACGCTCGTTTATCTGCACGCGTCTGAACAGATCAGTACTGGAGTAACAGACTTTGATTAAGACATAGTATGGTTGGTGGCTATTCACTCCTCGAACTCCCGAGTCGCCTCCGCTGCTGCTCTTGCGTCTGAGGTCTCCGATTCTTGGGTCCCTGGTTGATCGCTGGACGATGTTGGTCGTTCGATGGCAGGCGAAGCGACGATGCCGGCTGGCGGAATAAACGCTTCCCCTTCTTCGGTATCGAGTTGCATGAGGAATGTCTCCCATATCTCGATGAGCTGGACAATGTCAGGAGGTCTGATCGCTTCACCCTGTACGGGATTACTTACCTCCTTCTGTGCCTCCACGGCGCTCTCCAGAAACGTCTCTACCCCTGATTTGAAATCTTCAACCTTTTCCCTCTCAAACCGTTCCAGCTCACCCCTCATTAACCGACCCATGTCTTCAAACAATAGTCTTGCTTGATGCACCCTACGTTCGGCATCGGCAACATCCGCGCTGAGTTGATTGAGGCGATCCTGCTGTGACCGGCCCTGCCTAAGGAGCTTGTCCTGGGTTGCCTTGCGCTTTTGAAGTTCAGACTCGGCGGCATGCCATGAATGATAGGCCTTCTGTCGCTGCTGGAATGCGGTTTTCACTGATCCAATAAGACGGATGTACTCGTCGATGACAATACCTAGGGTTAGCACATCCTGCTGCGCTTGGCGCTCGTAAAGTTCCCTTATTCGGATTTGGATATCAGATAAGCTGTCGAGCGGACCGGAGAGAGACGGGGATAGTTCAACGATCGAAAGTGCATGTAGCGAAGCAGAAAAGTCGCCGCACGCTTCCGCAAGGCCCTTGCGCTGAGCTACGACAGTGTCGGTGGCTTTAAGCAGGCCCTTAAGTTGGTTTTCGAGCGCGTCAAGGTAGATCTTTCGGTCATGGAACCACTGCTAAGGTTAGAATCATGAAGCGCCCGGCTGAAGCAGGAACTCACATCGTCGTGCTCAACGAACTTTCCACTACTTCCAGAGAGCATGGAACCGAACATACCCTTGCTCTCACCCAGGCCGGGATCTTTCCGCTCCTTATTCTTGATGTCGACATTGAAGGCTTCACTCTCAAGGAACAGCTTCAGGTCGCTGTCATGCTGCAAGACCGAATGCGCAGCAATCTTGTTTAGCATTCGCTCTAGGGCGGACCGCCTCGACTCGATGAAGTCTGCATCGAAACGACCCACGGCTTGCTTCTCGGGTGGCGGGGGTATGATTATTCCGGGATTATTGTTGTGCATCTGGGTGTACAGCCAGAGGAAATCACGGTAGCGGCGGGAGACAGTAAACTCGGGGTTGCGGTAGCCTTTCGATGTGGTCTGCGGGGACGAGCGGTTAGCAGCAATTCCCGCCACAATCCATACGATATAGGAAACGCACCTTTGTCATGACCGAGTACTCCGTATGTGAGCTCGTCATGTCTCCGACCTTGTGCGGATCTCCGACATAGATGGTGAAGGTGGGCTTTGCCGCCCGCTCCACGCTCACGCTCGGTTGCGTCTGTCGCTGAGGCGCGGCAGCGCTCGGTGGCTGCACTGGAGGGGGCACTCTGGGACCTCGCGTCACGGGCTTGCCGTCGTCGTCATCGTCCAGGTTCACCGAATCCATCATGCCCGGAAGCGACGACGTGGATGTTCCAGGCGTGGGGCGAGGACTGCGTTCGCGGGCGAGCTCTTTCTGCGGCGGCGCCGGAGGTGCCTCTGGGCCTGAGGGCGGCGTAGGGGCTCCTAGAGGTCCTAAGGGATCATCTACGGCTTCAAGTTTCGTCGCCTGCGCGCCATATTGTCTTCTACGAGGTCCTCGACCTGCTGGGGAGCGCGGCGCGGCGGAGACGTTCGGGACGGTGCTAGCAGATGCTTTAGGGGGAGATAGCGATTCTGGATTTAGTCAGAATGGCGATGCAGATATGCAGAATGCAGCTGTACCGGACTCGAGGCTCTCCTCTTGAGCTATCTTGGGAACCGTGTGCGAGGGGCTGGATCGCGAGGGCACATCTACCGTCGGTCAATTTCATGGAGTCGCGAATGGTATCTGGAATGCTTACCTCCCCACGGCGAGCTTCCTTCGTCGCCAAGATCCATTGCGCTGTGTGGTGGAGAAGCTGCGTGAGCTGGTTGTGGTGTTCTAAAGTTGCGTCCGACAGCAACGCCTTCCGCACCCCGGTCTTGGCGTTCGCTTCGCGACTCCTCGGCGTCATCCCACTTCCTCCGTCTTGATGATTGCCTATGCTCAGAATGCCGACGTCAAATGACAAAACCTAGAATGCCTTGCAACAGCACCTAGGCACGACCCATCTCACGTCCTCGCCACCCTCATCAGGCGGACGCCGCTCCCTTCAAACTGTGCCACGGATCCCAACGCCACAAACAATCATGACACCTTTCTTTCCTGTTCATCTCCCGTTCTTACAGACAATGGGAGCATCCTCAAAGTTCGCCGCAGTCGTTTCAAATCCGAGGACGATTCCTCAAACATCCCCTCCTCTCCTCGCCCGTCTCTTATCCCCGTTCCCAGAACTTTACCAATGTCCACTTTTTATGCCATGGTCCATTTTCTCTCTTCCCTCTTGGCCCTTAAACCATACTCGCCGGACTTCCCATGCGTGGTTGACCTAATAGTTAAATGGTAAATCTTTCCGAAGTTTAACATCACGTCCAAGTCATTCCTCTGGAAGAGGGTGTCATATTCATTTCTCTGCGTTTAGTCTTACTAATGGTCTTCCGGCTACTTCCTCAATCTGGCAATGCGCATACCTCCCCCCTCTTCATGCTTGTACGGCGAAGCCATAATCCTTCCGGTGGGATGCTTCCTGGAGACAATGCCCGCCACAGCTGCACCAGTACGGGAAGGCCACCTGGAGTCTGAGGAAGCTTATTTCGGAGTCTGAACAATGGATTCGCCTGCATATGTTGTATTGGTCATTGCCCTTCGCGCCCAGTACATAAAAGGTCTTCAGGGCCAGCGTTACCCAGCTAAGCAAGCGCCCTCTGTTTCCCATCTCAGCTGTGTCCAGGCACAGCTCTCTTCTCAATCCGTTCTAGAAAGTCGATCACTTTCACGATGGCAATGACTCCTCTGCTTACGGCCCTCGCTTTTTTCCTCGCCGGTGCCCACGGCTCGCCCTGGCCCTCAGGTGCCCCGTCGCCCACAGGAGTCATGTCACCCCCCACGCAAGCGACACACTTGCCTTCTACTAGCTACCGCACCATGATTGATATGTGCGGGGCTTTCAAAAGCGCCGGCATGCAGATTAGCTGCGCTTCGACTGCGACCGCCACGGCAACAACGTATACTCCCCCCACCTGGCATGAGTCAGTACCACTACCTAGCTCAAGCTCGGGATTGATAGCTCGCCGTGTCAAACCGCGCAATGGGACCCCGATTATGTCTACACCCCCGCATCCCTTCTCGTACCACGGACCGGCTCCGACTGGCACGTATACTCGCCCTAGCTGGCATGTGCCAGTACCATTACCTAGCTCAAGCTCGGGATTGATGGCTCGCCGTGTCAAGCCACGCGATGGAACCCCTACTTCGTCCATAGTCCCACAACCCTTCTCGTACGACGGGCCGGCTCCGACCGGCGGCCCTGGGCACCATATTTGTGATCAGATTCGGCCGGCCTGTTTGGATGAGCAGGGTAATCCGAAGGATTTCGAGTAAGTACCGATAGCCGCAAAGTGTCACGGATTTGAACTAATTTCTCTGTAGGATATTTCCTTGCTACTTGGTTGCAGCTATGAGCGAGCCCACCAGCACCTACAGCTGGCCTTCCCTGAGTGGGGTTCATTATGCCGAGGCCACCTACACCTAGGCCGCTCACAGAGTTTTCAGCCCTAAGAGCTCAGCAGGAAGGAGTTGGGAATCAGTACGATTCGAGCCATCGTAGCCATCGTAGCTCGAGCGGGTCTTTGCTGCTGTGGGGTCTGTCGTGCCACCTAGAATGCAGGTATGGCGGACAAGACTATGTTACGTTTCATAGCTTAATCATGGCGTTAGCCTTTCTTACCCTAATTCTATCATGTTCTACCGGGTATTCTGTATTCCTCTTATCGTCCCATCATGTGCATTGTGGCGCTTTATCATCGAACAGCCACCTGTTCCCTTTTGCTCATAAACTACTCTTCCCCACAGCCGCCTTCCCATGCTCACACAAATAACACACCTTCCCATCCTCCGTCCTTATCTCCCCCCTCGTCATCCCCAGCCTCTTTCCCAAATGCACAACCTGGCTCTCTACCCACACCTTCTGGCCCTCCATCGCCGGCCTCAAATACGTGCAGTTCAGCGTCCGACTCACATGCCCCGTATCCCAGAATCCAGCCTTTGAACACGCGGTTATGGCGGTCGACGTACATATATCAAATATGAGTGCCACTGCGCCCCCATGCAGGCTGCCGGACATGTTGCAGAGCTCCCGCGGGATGGTGAGGCTGAAGACTGTTTGGGAGTTGTGCGGGTTCGAGGGCGTGGGGTCGAATATTGCGGATTCGAGGGTCATGATTTTGGGCAGGAGCGAATCGTGGCCCTGTGTTTGGACTATCAGTACAATGTGCAGTAATGAGCGGGTTGAATGGGTAGAGGACGGAGAGTCTTACGCCGTAGCCTTCCATGCCGGCGACTTCGAACCATTTCTGTACTTTCTCGTAGGGTGTCAATTCCTTATCTCCTGCTTCTTCGTGGAACTTGCGGGCGCGGGAGCCCATTTTGGGTGTGGGCTTCAACGAACAGAGGCCGGGTGAGTCGCTGAGGAAGGATGTAGTAGAGGATTGGTGTAGAGCAGCGCTATCGTATCATCTTGAGAAAGAAAAGATAATCACTAGTCCCACAATGAAGACGTAGCTTCATGTCGACCTTGCGAGCAACAGCCAGACGTTCCGACGCTGACGTCTCTGAACCTCGGCTCATCTCACCGCGCCATCCCTGCAGTGATCTCAAATTAACGCTAAACCCCTTCCAACTCAACTCCAAAAGTTTCTCGACATCGACCAGAACCCCATCCCATCCCCCATCGATACCAGGCGCGCCAATATCGCAGCCATGGACACTCATCTGCTACTGCGACAACTCCTCCGCGCACCCTCCACCTACCGCACAATCCTCACGCCCACCATGGCGCGCCCTCAAACCCGGACGTTCGCGCTCCTCTCCCCCCAGCTCTCGCTCGCGCATCCGCGTCACCTTTCCTTGCCCCGGATAATCCAGCCCAGTTTCTGGACCTCCATGATCCCGCGCCCCCTCAAAGAGCGGCCCTCGAAACCGAAGAAAACGCGCGAAATAAACCCTGCGACGCCGTACATCGTCCTAGGCCTGCTCGTCGGCAGCCAAGCGATCCAGATACTGTGGCTAAAGCAGGAAAGAGGGCGGGAGATGAGACGAGCGGAGGCGAAGATAGGCGTGTTGAGGGAGGTGGTGGAGAGGGTGCAGAGGGGCGAGGATGTGGATGTTGAGAGGGTGCTGAGAACTGGGGATCAGGAGGGGGAGGGGGAGTGGGCGGATGGTGAGTAGAAAGTTCGATGTCGTGGGGAGCAGGTTGCTAATTGGGTACAGTGCTTAAGGAGATTGAGGAGGAGGAATTGCTGTTTCAGGGTAAGAAAGTTAGAAAGGCGTTGAAGCAGCAGGCTGCTGCTGCTGCTGCTGCGAAGGAGGAAGGGAAGATGCAGAAGGAGCCAGAGAATGAAGTGGAGAGTAAGGAGGTGCAGGAGGGTAAGGTAAAGGTTGAGACTGTTAATGGGGCGAGGTTTTATTGAAGTGGGAGACAATACATTTTCGGAGCGGCTGTACTATATACCAACATACCCATCGAAAGCATCATACGCAACTTCCCGAATATTCCGCCTTCGAAAGCTTTCCGCACACCGTCTGCGACCCCCTCTGAATGTTTTCCGATCCTCGCAGCGATCCAAGCTTCGAAGCGCTACGATTCGCATGATCTGACCACCTAGACTAGACGGGGTTCACGAGACAGACGAGCGGCGGTCACGATTGAGAAGTGGGTTGGAAACCCCAAGCAAGGTCGGTATTTAGAAGGTCCTGCTGTCTTGGACGTTTACAAAGTGGTCATTTGGATATCAGACAAAAGAATGGGAGCTGTAACTAGGCGCTCTTCGATTATAGAGAGAAACTGACGACTGGTACGCCTTCCCGATATCAAGTGTGCTTCGACAGCCTAAGGTGTAGCGTCCCGCATATCACTCTTAAACCTCTCGATAGCCCGCTGCTTCGTCTCCTTCCAATCAACATGCAGTTTCGGATACCCGAGCTTCTCGAACTCTTCTTTGCTCAGCCGGGCGTACAGCGCGAAGACAGCTTTTCCTTCTACTTCTTTGAGCTCCGGGACCCCTATTTCTAGTCAACTACATGTGCATAAAGAGTGTAGAAAGGACTTACACTTCCGGATATACTCCCCATCCGGATCATTCTTCTCGGCTTGCGAGACGGGATTGAACACCGTGTAGCTGGGCTTCCAGCCTTGCGTGTTGTTCGAGAGATCCCAATCAATCAGCGTCTCGGCGAAATACCGTTCTCCTCTCCGATAGTCGATAAGCATGTTGCAGTACAGGTACGAAGAAACGTTCCTTAATCGCATTTTCTTTGCGTCAACTTCAACATGAGCCGCAACCTCCGCCTCCGCTCACTCGCTCCTCACCTATCTCGTCTCTCACACACACGGTTCCTCCCTCTGCACAACTGTAGCTTACGCAAAATCACGGCTTGCAATACTCTGGTGCTTCGGGTATTCTGCGCAGACTAGACTTAGACGCCACTCTAAAGGTATATTCTTCACCCTTTTAGTTATTATAGCCAACGTGGAGTAGATGTGTGAGGACTGCGTTGCTCGATTCTGCTGCGCACCAACCCACGAAGAGCGCGGCGAAGACCCTCTCCGATTCAAACATCACGTACAATGTCCAGCAGTAGTTGCCGTCAGAGGCGCTACTTGCCCTGCGCCGAGAGACCGTGTGCATATTCTCCAGGAGGATGATGATAGTATTGATTGCGCAGAATGCCGGGGAGAGACCCCCCAGAGACTGTGCGTTACTGCCCACCCTAGATACCATTGGATCGGCCTCTTAGAACAGGTAACTAGTTACTCCCGTACGACCAACAGCCGCCGTTAGACCCCGGTCTTCATGCACAAGTCAAACCGGATCGCTGCCTCGAGATGGGTTCCCCCCAATTAGTTATAGCGTAGAGTTGGATGTACTAACCCCGGGCAATCTGCATGCAGCTGCATATTTTTAGAAGTTATGTTTGAGTCATCTGTCCATCTGCATCCTCAAGCTAGTTGCCTAGCAATCTTAAGATAAGAACGCAGCAATTCCTTGAAAAGCGAACCTCGAGAGGGAAAGCAATCAGCCCATTTCTTCGCTTCGCGATCACTGCCTCGACACCGTTCCCATCTTCCAGAAAGGCCACCGAGGTTTGTCGATCATCATTTTCCACTCCACTACGGCTAATAGGGTACGTCAGATGTGTGACTGGTGGTATGAACGTATCAAACCAGAAGCTTGCAAAGCCCATTCCACCCCACACAACCGAAAAGAAGCAATGGAAATATTGCTCAAAGTCTCCACAATATGGCACTAGCTGCGGCACCGAAAAGGAATTGACATCCAGCCATCTCACCATTACGGAGAAAGGAGCGGAATGCCCTCAATGTAAGGGTTGAGACCAAAGACCGTTCGGGTAGGTTACACAGAATTACCTTGTCGTTGTCCTCTAATAATGACTATTCTAAGTGCTTCCTCGTCCCTCTGCTACACGATAGCTCTTTGGTTACTTAACCGTATTCATATTATTTTGGGCCTCAGAGTTTCCTAGGCGAGCAATGTTAGATAGCTTAGCTGAATAAGAAAGGGAAGACGAACCTATCTCACTTTGAATGCTTTGTGCTACCTCTTCTGCAGAGTTGAACTGACCCTTCCAGCATTTGGAAATAATATCTCCAAGCTTGATCTCAGAGACGTCTGGATAAATGCCCTCTTGGAGCCAGAGTTGGACCATCCAACCCTCGACATGATCATCTGCAACGCCTGGATAGTTACGCTCTCGAATCCAATTGACCATCCAGTCTTGAAGTTCGTAATGTGGCCTTTTGGAAGTGATGATCTCATAAATTGTCGACCCCAGAGCATGTAGCTCAGACCGCATAGTTCCGTTCCAGTTTTCTTCAAGAACTGGATGCTTGAAACCTTCTTCCGCCTTGACTCTGGGAGGGTTTCCATCAAGGCCAGATCCAGCAAAATCGCACAGCAAAACCGTCCTTGATGAATCCAGGAGAATATTTCGGCCGCCTATATCACCGTGCCTGATACCATGATCGTGAATGTACTGAACAGCTTTTGCGATATCTCGGCACCATTTGATACGCTCATCTACTGTTGCGGTACCGCCGTCGAGAAAGTACTGGCGAATGGTGCCATGCTCGGCGCGTTTGAGAACAATATGCTTAGCGCATACTGAGACTGGACCAGTTTCGGCGATTCGGAGACAAGGTACAATGTTGGGATGGCTTCCTAGGCGTTTGTAGATACGTTTCTCGATTTCAATGTCCTCTATCGAACTCGGATCTGTTGTTGGAAGTTTCATAACTTCTGTCGTATTCTCTGGCCAGTAAAAAATATGGCCTGATCCGCCCCAAGCCAAAAGCTCGGTGCCTCGTGGATTGAGAGCCCATGTAACAACGATCTCTTGGCCGTTCTCGTCCTTCTCAATGCGCATTGTATTTGAGTAGTCTGGGTTAAGAGCAAAAGGCGTTATGCGAATATGTAGAGACGGTGTTGATTATGAAAAGGGCTCCGCTTGCCCTGGAATGTAGTTAGGAATGTAGTACAACCTGACTGAATTGTTCGGAATAGCTGCGACGCGTTGGACGGTGCTGGTGAGGCGGTTTGGCATGGGTGAGACGGGTCAGATGGTGACGATAAAGTGATTCGGTGTGTATACGTGTTCGATGACAGCGGCGAGATAGGTCAGCTTGATGGAGGCGACGCAACTCGATAAAGGCTCAGCTTTGCTTCTGCTTCTATCCGGCGGAGGAGCTCCTCTATCCTCCTAGACGGCCAGGGCGGGGCGGTTCGGCACGGGTGGGACGCGTTGAACGGTGATGGCGAGGCGGTCCGGTGTATATACGTGTTCGATAGCGGTAGAGAGGTTAGTTAGCTTAATATAGGTAATACAAATATTTATAGGTTGTTGTCGACGAGGCATTTCTGTTAGCCCGCGATGTCAAGTGGGGAGGCTTATCTTTATGGACATGGCTCGTGCGTGTAGTAATCTCTCGGAAATACCGGATATTACTTAGTTACGTAATAAGAAAAATTCTGCTATAACGTACTTTACAAGCAAGCTAGTTACACAAGCAAGCTAGTTACTTTTACTAAGTCTCTACTAAAAAGTTACTATCTTAGTTAGATTACTCTAACTCTAAGCTACTTAAGATAAATCTAGATAAGCTATCTAACTTATCTATATTATCTTTAACTATCTAGTACGTTTACGTATTATACTCTAGCTTACTATAGCGTCTATAGTATTACTAAGCTAGCTAGCTATTATATACTACTATCTCTTTATACTACTTCTTACTCTTATTCTAATCTATAGTCTTTCTTTAAGTAACTAGCTATAAGCTAGCTTTAATTATAAAAGTATTCTTTTTCTAAATCTACTTTCTTTTATATAAATTATACTTCTTTTTCTATACGTTAGCTACTTAAAGCTAGGTAACTTTAGACTCTATAAGTACTAGCTAATACGCTATTAGCTTATTATCTTTTTTAAGCTAATTAAGTAACTTAATAATATAAGTTAGTAATAAA